AAAACCAGTCAACAATTTATCATTTCAAATCTGCACAAAACAATGGTAATCGATGTGGTAATTAGATGGTCATTCGAGCTTTCGTGGATGAACTGATACAGAGGATTGAAAACTGTCGTCAACAAACACGTGTTTACGATACATGCGTACCACATACTGACGATATATTACTCGTTTACATTAGAAGCGGAACGAGTGTACGAGCGTTCGTATGCAAATATGTTGAACGATTCATACCTGAAATTAACGGAATACATATTGAACGTCTGTAGATTAAATTTATTTTTATTTTTCATACAGCAGAAAATACCTTATAACTCAGAAAGAAATCGTTTTTTTGGAATATTACTTATCAAGATTTTTGCTCTGCTTTCACGAGTAATTTACATTACATGCTTTTAAAATTTGATACCGTCATTTTTCAACACTCTGTATATTTCTTCCACATGTGTATCTTTAGCTTTAATAATAACCTTGATAACGAGATAAATTTGATCGTTGATCGATCTTAATGAAATATCGAGGAATGGGAAAAAGGAGGATGCATCGGCGACAGCCTCGAGAAGTGCTCACGCCGGAAGTAGATAACCTCCGCGGGAAAACTGGTTTCGTTCGTTCCGGCTATAACGAGCCGATGATTTACTCCTAATCATTTCTTAGTTATCTCATTAACCGGCACGGCGTGCCGGTGAGGAGCGGCGCAGATGCAGGAAGCACTTTCCATCGGGCGAGTGCATGCGGCGAAAAAAATCAACCGGGTATCACCGCGCGTTAATGCGTTTGCGCTGACTTCGCTCAGCATTCGCTCGGCCACTTTCAACATTTTTCCCCGATGATTATCATAATAATCTCGAATTGCAAGCGGCAACGCGGCTCTTCCTCCGACGGTACGAGCTAATAAAAGCGAAGCGCGCGCGCGAAGTTTTCTCGAACTCGAAAGCGCCGAGAGCCCTTCCTCGTGAAGAAAGGAAGATACATATTTATCGCGCATCCTAAGTTTCTCGAAGAATGCGATACAGGATGTTCTAAAATCGCTTCCTTCATCTACGAGCTCTTCTCGTCTGAAATTGACTTTTTTCTCAAGACACAAGTGGCGATTGGGCGCCACAATATATATCTACTATTCAATTTTCAACGAACAATTCTGAAATAACACATTCTTATATATTTGATTAACAAGAAATTTCTTTCCTTAAGATGATGGATAATAGTGTTAATTTCCATTTTAGTGCTTTACATACAGTAAAATATTTTCCGTTGAATTTAACATATTTCACATGTCTCAAACGATCCACGTCAATTCTTGTGTTAATTTAACACAAGGTGAAAATGTCGAAAATGAACACAAAATTAATATCCACAATATATAAATTGACACTGAAGCATTAATTATTTTAACGCTTACACACATGTTGAATATCGACTCGACACAAAACATTGAGAAAACATAAACACAATATGTTAAATTAACACGCGTGTATGTTGGAAATCTAACACAAAAATCTTATCAAGAATCTTATCACCGATCTTAACACAAGTATAAAATATTTTCCACTATACGCTCTAAGATTATTCAACAAAAAAAAATAAACAAAAATAAAAGAAAAGAAAAAGATAAGCAGGGAAAAGAGAGAGAGAAGGAGAAAGAGAATAGGGGGGGAAGACTTATAGGCTTTCGGACTCATCGAGTAAATAATTTACAGGAAGGCGCATTTGACCGGAGGGTCCCTCGTGGGTGTTTTCACACGGCGACGCGCTATTATGAAATTCGCTGTAGATTATTCTGAAATAACGTATCTCGTTACATCAGAGGCTGCATGGGCGAACGAGGTCGTGAACCGTGTTGCAGCGACGTAAATGTCGTGGTTCATTGTACGGGCGTAAGAATGAATGGATAGGCGTATGAATGGCGGAGGGTCAGAGGCTGTGAGGAGGGAAGGCGCGTTCGTATCACAAAGAGCGCATAAAACACTATCGACTGTGCTCGATCGAGCTTTTCCGGAAAATCGATTTTAAAAGCGCTCTCACGAGTCCGACGCTCGTGAATCGTTCGTGAATTGATCTCGTCCGAATCTCGTGCCGAGAGCGTTCACGTGTCCGCTATTTAAAGCGCTCCCGAGTGATTGTGATTGATAATTAACATCGGTTCGTTGTACAATGTAGCCTTTGGAGTAATCTCGATCTTGATTGACGCGCACTTCGTAATGCCAATCCAGGGAGAGGTATATACATCCTCGGGTGTGATCCACATTAAGATTTGCTTTACGAGCATGACCCGGATCTTAGATCGTATTACGGGCCGCGCGAGCGCAATTCGGATGATAAATCCTTGACATCGCGGCGAATCAGATCGTACATCCTGCAGATTGATGCAGGCGACGCTATAGCCAACGTTGACACACGCGCCTCACTCATCGCCGAAGTACGTGCTATATGATTAACGGTATTCTCGGACATTTCGCGCGTATTATACTCGCCTCGATCATTATTGCGATATTTTACCCTGTCATTAGGCTGCACACCTTGCGCGCGCCTCCAAGAACATCTCTTGAGATCCTGCTGGGGGATCCAGTCAGATTTGCTATAATTGTTAGAGGAGGATTTTATGATCCCCATTTACGTTTCGTACAATAGCTTTGTTCATAATTAATTTTTCTTTTTAATTGAAAGCGATTACATCCGTAAATGTGTTGTTTAGTCGACTCTAGGCCCAAGGCTGAATGAAATATTGGTTTCGTTTAAAACAAATACAATGCTTCGTTGAACATTTATATACTTATTCCGAATAAACCCTCTTATAAGGGACAACAATAGATATAACCGTGAATTTGTAGTAGATGTACTTATTTGTTAGAAGGTAAATACGCACTGTTGGGAGAACGGTTTTTCACTAACGAATGGACTTTCGAACTTAGGGTAAATTATTAAGTTGTCTGGAAGGTACTTCGATATGAAAATCTCGAAAAAGAGGCCATGCTAAATTTATTTCGGCGGGAAGCCGTGTTAATAAAATGCCATGCTATTAACTTTTTATAACGCGAAATGTGCACAGTGGAATAAAATGTTAAATAACGAATAAAATATTCAAGCGTACACATAGTCGTGTGATAATACGCCCCAGTTTACGAATAATGAAAATATATATAATTAAATGCTAAATGTACGTTACGAACGTTTCGAAATACTGAAAAATAAAAGAGCATTATAACAAATATCAGCTATTATGTTTCGACATATTAGCGCCACGCGATGACAGTCGAAAATCGAAATGAGTAACGACTTGCATCGAGATCTCGAAACAGCCAGTCAGCATTGCGGCAACAAATAAACTACTTATATACCCTTTTCAGTGTGGAAAATGAGATTTCCGATTGATATTATAGTGGGTTAACCTATTTTGGAACAACTTTGGGTATTCTAATCAGAACCTACGCTGTATACATGGGAAAATCGAGGAAAATTTACACGCAGGTCTCGGCGTATTCGCGGAGACAAGGAAAGAGCGAAGATCGCCAGCTCCGGCGGCTACGGTAACGTTTTCAACACTAAAAAGAAACAAAATGTTGCGATAATTAGAATCCTCCGGTTAATATTTCACGTCTCTCTCTCTTTCGCTTCCTCTCCCTTTTTCTCTTACTTTAAGCACACTTCTCGGTTTTATATCTCGAAGGCAAGATCTCCCCTTCTATTTGCGCACTCTCGAAGGCTCCCTTTCGCCGGGGAACCTTCTCATCCGCGATATTCCCTCGTAATTTTACTCCTACTTAAATTTTCCAACGGGCAAACACTCGGCTGCAACTCGACTCCGAAGTCATCAAAGAGCACAAGGTACACGAGTATTGATTTGCACCTCGCTCGAACGCGCGTCCTCAAATATTGTCGAACGACCGGCGAGATACCCGTTCGTCCGGGATTGCGAATGCTCCTACCGGCGACTTGCGATCCGGCTGTTTACTCATTCATCGACGTTCCTCTCTTCGCGCCATCGCGCGTTATTCGATCTCGAAATTTTGACGCGGCGGGCCACCACTCAGGAAGCGAATCGAATCGATCGCGATCGGCCGCATCCGAAAGCAGGAAGTACACCATAAGCCGCGTCCGGTCTATTTTCGAGAGCGGCAGCTCGTCGGATTTCGGCGCTTAGAACGACAAGGACGATGCTTCGACGAGGAGGACTCGTGGCGGTAAAGCCGGTTAGACGGCGGGCCGTGAGATGGCGACGCACTGACCGGCGCCGGGCGTCCTACCGGCGGCAGTCTCGGGGACGACGCCGTCACCGCCACGTGGGGAGCGAATTTGAATCGGCCGCCACCGGTTCCGCTGTTCCATCGTGTCAGAGCGATCGTTCGCACCGGTGCGCTCCTCCGTCGCGCCTCCGACGAACCTCGCTCGGCTTCGCGCGAGCGTCTCGCCGAGCACTCCAGAAGCGGCCGATACGAACGAGAGAATGAGGAAGAAAATTTAAAGGATACCGAGACGACCTCCCCCGTTCCCGGAAGACACTCACGGCGTCTTCGCTCGGAGCCATCCGGCCGGAGAGAAGCGCGCAGGAATACGGCGCGTCCCCAGAGCGTTATCGGGTAACGTAGAGTTACACTCGTATACTCGCGCGGACGACGAAGAAACCACCGATCCCGGTTGACGAGCGCGTCGACGTTCTCGGCGAGCAGGCGATTATCAACGCGAGGGAGGAAGGAAGAACTTTCCGGAGTGATTGTCACGAGAGAGAGAGAGAGAGAGAGCGGTGAGCGTAGGCGATTAAAAGGAACCGTCACTCGGCGTCATCGCGCCACGTGACGTCGGCTGTCATCGCCTACCGGATCAGCGGATTCCTCCGCGCCACGTGACGGCGCCCACGAGAGATCGAGCGATGGGCCGCTCATAGTCGTGTCCGGTGGTCAGTCGCGAGTGCGTGCACAGCGAGAGAAGAAGAGATCGAAAGAAAGAGAGATACCGCGGGCGAGCGCGGCACCGCTCCAGTCGGCGACGTGTTCACCAGAGACGCGCTCCGAGCGTCGACTAGCACGGCGGCGAGCACCACGAGACGGAGGTGGCGGTGACGACGGTTACGGCGGAGGCAGGAGGCAGCGGAGGAGAGCAGCCGAGCCGGCTGGCAGGGGAGGGAGAAAAATCAAGAAGGAAGTAGCAAGTGTCACGAAGGGACTCTTGTCAGTGAGTGGTGGACCGTGGTGCAGATTGGGCATCGCGTGTGCGACGAGGATCCTCGTGAGAGGGAGAGCGTGCAAACAGAGGGGGAGGCGGCGGAAGCAAGCAGGCGGGACTCGCGCTCGATACGAGTGGCGCGCGCGCGCGAATTTCGACTCGATCGCCGTTTCCGATCCTCGCCTCCGGAAAGAGCAGAGCTGACCTTGCGGCCCGACCTTGGAAATTGGCGCCACCGTCGGTGCGTGGGCGTCGCGTCCCCCGGTAACGAGAGCGCGGCGAATTTGCCGGTCGCCCCCCGCGGGAACACGCGAGTGCTCGAGAGAAGGCAGCTCGCGCGCTCTCTTTTCCTCGCGTCCGAGAGCCTCGTGTTTCTTCCTTCTTTCGTTCCTTCCTCGGCCCGAGAGGAGGATTGCAGCCGGTGATCGAACCACCTGTCACGCCGGTGGAATGACTCAATATGCCGCCTAGGTGAGTGAAAAAGAAAAACGTACGAGGCACGCACGCACGGTTTGCGCCCGACCGACCGATGGCGGTAATTGGTAGGAGGTGAATTAAAGGGTAAACGAGGGGTGAACGAGCCACAGGTAGGCCGCGCTCGCCGGCCGGGAGAAAGAGAGAGGGAGGAGGCGGAAACGCCGCTTTAGCGATCTCCGGTTTCAAGCCTTTGACGCTCTGTGACTCGAGGGCCGGCTTTTGCCGGGGTTGTGAAAGCGCAGGAGGGTTGGTTAGCGTTGTGCGAGGCTCGTAAGAGAACGTACGTACGTGCGGCCGATGCCGGCGCGCTTCAGTCGCTCAGAAAATCAGCGGAAATTCTCCCTAACGACCCCAGTGTCTCGGCAATAATTAAATTCGATTCTGAAACCGACGGGAAAAGGACTCCCTCCTCTCTCTCTCTCTCTCTCTGTTTTAAAGGCACGAATATTGTAGAAATCGCGGACGATCATACGCGTAATTTAGCCGGCTGACGCGCTCTTTTATTTATCTCGCGCGGTCACGTTCACACATTACGTATCGTCGATTCTGAATAATCACTCGGACGTAGCGTCAATGAACGCCATTCAATCGTTCGTTTTCCTGCGTACACGATATCGCTCGCGTATTTTGATAATCGACGACTACGCTCGCACGGCTACTTAGGCTATTGGCTTATCAACATTAATAGCTTGAGTATACACGAATAGTATAAACACTGACTTAATAACTTTCGATATCGTAATTATTGGTGTCGCACGTCGTACTTGTAATACTTATATAATACATAACCTTGTCGGTAGTAACAACATCGAGAATTGTCAAATCGTCAATTTTACGTTGACCATGCATTCCGAAAAAATGTCTGGTATTTGTAACTGTAATCCCTAAGTGAACGAATTCTATTCGGGAGAGTCCTTTTTTTAATAAGTGTTACTGTAACGTGAGCGATAATGCATAAGCAAGATATAAGGCAGAAGCTGACACGTATAAGCAAGAATATATAATTCTGTATGAAGATAAAATCATAATTAATTTATAATGCTTTTATATATTCACGAGGAAATTCTATACAGTTCCACTGGAAATATTAGATTCCTTTTATCCAAGGATAATTTTTATGAATCGTTATTAAGTTACAATATAAACATGCTCAACAATACACGCTCTTTTATCTTTGACCGCGGATCGCATTGTTACAGAGCTGTGACGAACGGAGGAGGATGTTGGCGAGTCGTTCGGCCGTTTCTGAATTGTAGATTATCGTCGTTGCGTGATTGAATTTTCACGGCTAAGTTCATCCGGCGATACGGAGAGAAAGAGGGCGCCGGGTTCTTTCTCTCGCATCTACGTGGACGCGGCTACAAAACAGATTTCACTGCGCTTTTATTGCCCGTAATCCGCTCGCCGCGCACCTGCGCTCGCGGCGCATCCGTGAGTACAAGCGTGCGAGAAAATGTCGCGCTTCAAATCCGCTCTGATCGCGCGCGAAAGCGAGAGGGAAAGAGAGATAGAAGGAGAGAGGGAGGGAGAGGGGGGGAGACACGACATACATGAGGACACGGAGTGATGAGCAAATCCTCTTTCGCCAAGCCACCGGGAGAACAGAGTCGCTGTATAGTGGAGATCGTTGCGTAGGACCTGTTACGTTAACGTAATCCTTAATTCGACGATTTATTACTCCCGTCCGGCGCGGGGATCGAATTTATTCGTGTGTTTTGCCGGCCGGCGCGCCTCTCGCGCGTGCATTTTTACACTGTGAAAACCGCGCGACGCCGCCTCCCTCCCTGTGTTTCTCGTCGCTCTCACGGAACGCATGACGCGAATGACACGTGTAAATGAATGTACACACACGCAAGTGTGCAAACATCGGTGAATACCGGGCGCTGCGCGCGCGACTACACAGGAAAAAAGATTCCTTTGGATTTAATGGAATTTCTTGAATCGAACGAAATTTGTCCTATGGAGTGGAACTAATAAATGAATGTTTGATTCAACAAACATGACTGTTAAATTTCTCAGATAATGAGTATCTTTACTAATAATAAATATCTTTCTAGTTACTCTTGAACTTTAAGAAGGTTGTAAGGTGAAATGAGTTTCATGAGAATTTGACGAGAGTTGCGTATACAGTGAAATATCATCAAACTCATTGCTCATACAATTAGAACAAGAGACTGATCATTCGAGGACTGAGATTATTTCTAACTAAAGATAACGCTTTTAATGAATGTTCTTCAAGAGATTAACGTGTTGTCCTGAAAATACAGCGGTATAAAGCTTATAACTTACACTTAAAATACATATATACACAGTGGCGGGCATATATTTACGTACAGTTAGGAAAATTAAATTTTATTCGTGGTGTACTTATACATGAAATAATTAAACAAAGGTCCATTGCGTTTTTTACAAGTTTTACAAGTTTATAGCATATATTATGAGATAGCGAAACAGTGTTTATCGATTTACAATAATTAAGAAGTTTCTTGTGTTTGTTTGCTCAAGTATCATATTTTCTGCGGGCACGTACTTACGTACACCGTGGTAATACACAGATAGGTCAAAATTTATGCAATGTAAACAATACTTATCAGTATCTACCGAGTAATGTAAAGTAGGTAGAGAGACAGTGTTGTGACAGCTATGATGAGCAAACGAAAGAATATAACGCTGGAACAACGTCGGCAATTACAGCAGCTTCGCAAAAATGGGAAGTCTTATCGGAAGATTTCTACAAAGCTTGGAATATCTGTTATGGCTTGTTATCAAGCTATATAACATATTAAATGTCATGGAACCAGACCAGATAATGTTCCTCGTAAAGCGAGACCGCGTAGAGTTCCTTGTAAATCGATAAACACTGTTTTGGTGTGTCATAATATATGCTATATAAATTTGTAAAAAACATAATGGACTTTTGCTAACTATTTCATATATAAGCACACAACGAATGAAACTTAATTTTCCTAACTGTACATAAGTACATGTCCGCCACTGTATATATATATATATATATATATATATATATATGCGCATATTTTAACACTTATTTCTTTTACTTCTTTCTATTATCTGCGCATCTCCGTTAGATAAACTAATGCATAAAAATAGTATTAATAAGAAAAATAAAAATAATAATCCTTGTAATATTATGTACTTGTAATATTATGTATATATATCTACCTCAACTTCCTTACAAATCAACATTCATTATTTAGATAATAAAATAAATGTACGGGAACGTAATTTTGCTTGATAAATAATACATTGAATACTGATCTCCTGGGCAATACATCCTTAAACGGCGCGCTCCGGGGACTAATTAAGGGATAACTCGAGAGGTATTCAGGCATTATGACACTCCACGCAGGGGGGGAGGTGGGGGGGAACGCGCGAGTCTCTTCTTAAGATCGTTCGGAAGTAGAAATCCACGACTCCGCTCTCGACTCGCTCGCTTCCGCGCGCGCTGGGGAGGCATCCGCGCGCGACGCACGTGCAATGCTCGTAATTAGGCGCGGGTATTTTCACGAACTGCTCCGGCGGCTGCTGGACGCGGGGAAACGACGCGTCTATTCGACGCGCGCTTCAAGCACGGCCATTATTTACGAACGCGACGAGCGCAGCTGCGCCAACCGGGTATCTTCGCCGCGACAAACCGCTCGCGACGTCGTATTGTCAGCCGTAAAATTTTCGGAACGCTCGCCCGCCGCGGGCGCTCCTCTCATTCGACGGCGGTAAATTCCGCACGTCCGGCGAGCGTTTCGCGGACAAATATTTCGCGCGACGCGCCAAGAACGCGAGCGAAACCCGCCCTCCGTTCTCGATATCGCCGGATGTAATTTAAACTTTTAATGAAATCGCACGCGTGTCCGCGCGCGACTCTGACAATCGGAACACCGCCCGTAATTACGGGCTCGCGACCGTAACGCGCCTATAAACTCGTCATTTTACAAGCACCGCCTCGAACGCGTCGAACGTATCGAACTGTTATCGTCCCCACAAACGACGGTCTCGTGGAGAGAACCGGATGAAGGGAGAAAGAAGAAGGAAGAAAAAATCGGCCGGAGAAATGAAACGGCGCGGAATTCCGGGTTTTCCGAGCGGGGAACGAGCGCGATTGAGCTCGTCATTCGCGTATCGACGTACCCGGACATCCTTCTGAGCGAGTTCACGTCACACTCGTCGGATAATCCCGACGCGTCGCGCTCACCTCCGGCGAGCTCCGGCAGTGCGATAACGAAATTACGACCGCGTAATCACCGGCGGCGTCGCGCCCCGCAAATCATCCTTTAGAAAAATCCCACTTACGGAGCGCGCGCAAGCGCGAACGCGCGCGAGGGTTTAACGCGGAATCCGTAATTTCAAATTAACGCGACGTTTATACGCGCTTAAAAGCGTCTGTGCGCTCTCGAGCGACCGCGCGCACCGTCGCGCCGCTCGTTACACCGCGGCGATTCCGCGTCACGGAGCGCGGTTTTCGGGAAAATACCATGGCATAATTCACCGAGATGATCTGTCCGATGATGCCCGCGCGGTCTAGCCGTTGCCCGACGAGGAAATAAAATGAAAAAGGAGAATGAGAGGCAGACAGACACAGAGGAAGAGAGAGAGAGAGAGAGAGAGAGGGAAAAACAAGAAAGGTGAGTGGTCGTCGCCGCGTACGCGCGCCACTACTGCCGCACGTTGTGTTAAGATATGGCACGTGACAATACTGTTGGAAAGATAATGGTTAATACAACACGAAGAAGCTCGACGAGTCAATGTTAATAATATCTAAATGTCTATAAACATAACTTATGCGCACAGAAAGAAAGTGGTAGAATAAACGTAATTACTTGTTTTTCTTAGTCAAATTAAATCAATATGTTCATCAATTTAAGTATATTTTTGTTTCCCGTGATCAGAAGGACTCATTTATGGATATTCAAATATATAAAGTTGGTTTAATTAATTAATTAACAGTTTAATTAGAATATGGCGGTATCTGAGAGATA